GGTAAACCCCGGGGTAGACCTCATCGCAGGCAGGGTAAACCCCGGGGTAGACCTCATCGCAGGCAGGGTAAACCCCGGGGTAGACCTCATCGCAGGCAGGGTAAACCCCGGGGTAGACCCTGGACAGGACGCCACACACACAGCCGGGGAACTCTGATGGTACCATGCTGAATCACATTTATTATTTTAGAGTCTTCTCACTGGTCTGGCTGGCAAGCTAAACATGTTTAATGGTAACCTAAATACACTTATAGCAACTGTAGATTTTTAAATGAATGAAACTTAACATAATACAAGACAGCAGGCTCTGGGGGGGGGGACTAGGACTACCAGAGATCCTGCCCCATTTACCCAAACTATATAAAGTGCCTCCCTTTAAATGCACTAAGGTAAGGTGGCCAGCTAAGGATGGCATCTTCTGAGGGGCCGCAAACGTAGCAAACTGATGGGGTAACCACTGTCCCCCCCACCCCGATTGACTACGTTACCCCCAGAGGTGGAAAGTTCAGGTCCAGAAAGTACAAATCCAGACCAAGACTTTGCTTCATCCAAACAGCTGAGTACACTGTGACTGTACACTGTGACTGTGGTTGAAACAAAATCTAGGTCTAGTTTTGTAGTTTCTGGACCTGAACTGCCCACCCCCCCTTATGTACGCGTGACATGTACGCGACTAAGACAAATGGTGAAGCTTGTCTAGGACTTCGATCGGCACTGCCTTTGAGTACCTGTCTCTAAAAGTCTCGAAACAGTCATGCTGAAACTCAAGTGTGCTTTAAAGTGACTCAGTATTAGGAATCAAGAGGAGAAGTGTGTATTACTCAGCTGCCGACTGATGGTCTGACATTTTGGCGCGCTCATCTGTCTTCAGAAGCTCGTCACTGATTAGCATCGCTGATGGCTCGGTTCATATTGCGGTGTGTACCTCCAAATCCATCTTCGCGAGCTTATCGATCATTAGCATCGCTGATTAGCATTGCTGATAGCCACACTGCGGTGTACTTGTCCATAGTCATCTTCACAAAGGCTGTCCCCGTTCAGCTTTGCTGATTGCCCATTCCACACGGCGGCGTCCTTGTCAGTAACCATCTCCAGGAGCTCTGTTGATTGCCCCTTGTGATATCATCTAAGGTTATCTTCAAAAGCCGGCTTTGATTCCTGCAGCCAGCTACACCTATTAACTGCAGATCAGCCCTTCAGTTATGTAACCCCCTTCCCTACTATTCTGGAGGTGTTCCCAAAGCATCCATGCGGTGTTTCCATGGATTCAGAAGCATAAAACACAGTTGCTGTGGTTGTTACCCCATTAGCCCAGCATGAGTGTCTTCAGGGTCCTTGCATCACACATACTGCATTAAATAACAGGCAGCAACCAACCTGCTACCGACAAATTGTCACTGCAGAAGTGGCTGCAGTACCTCTCTCCAAAACCATGACCTCAGCTACGGTCCCACCGATACGGAACAGTGACCCAGAAAAGTTAGAAGAAACATTTAATTTTCCAGCTCATTTTGCATTTATTAGTAGATTGACTGCTCATTACAATGAAGCATCAACACGATAAGAGCATGACTAATTTTGACTAATGGGGTCTTGTATCTGGCCTGGCTTGCAGGTACCTCACTCTTGTTTTACACCTTGGAGGCTGTCAATCTTCATCAGGTTGCCAGCAGTTAGTGGCCAATGGGGTCGAAACTATGGCTCAGTAGTTTTCCCTGTTGCCTCTCGCCTCTGCGCCCAGGGTTTGTGTCTCGATTGTTGTTGAGGGGTTTCCTCCACATTCTCCAGTTTCCCCCCACCATCCAAAAACATGCTGAGGTGAATTGGAGTTGCCAGATTGCCCGTAGGTATGAATGGTGTGTGTGTGCCCTGTGATGGCGTGGTGCCCCATCCTGGGAAATTCTCCTCTCTGCATCCATAGCTTCTGGAATAAGCTTTGTGACCTCAAACAGGATGAATGGGTATAGACAATGGTGAATACTGGATGCAGATATCTCATCTGTTGTAACTTTATAAAAAAAAAATAATAATAAAATTGCTCATCCAAGAGGTACATAGAACCATGCATAGCACCGAAGAATGTGGCCTATGTTAACCTCAGAAACCATGTTTTGAAACACACGCACTAATTACGACCACCCAAAATGTTGATGTTAAGCAGATCAGGATTTAGTGAATCCCTTAGCTGTGCTGAGCTGCCGTTTGATATTTTTAATACCATAATCATGTTCAGAGTCGCAAATTAAAAAAGGGTGAATTTTACGACTCGCACAGCATTCGATTGCGGCGTCCTGTGCGCCGTTTAGGGCGCGTTGACTGTCCAGGCGCTATCGATTTCGGATTATCACGCCAGGACCGTTCAAATGGCGGCAGGCGCGTACCACGTTTACGTTTACGAAGATTGGAATTCGTCCTGGACCGTAAACGCTTTAGGGCATGGAATTACTCACTCATGCTTCATCTTACCGACCGAATGCATTTTCGAGAAAAATGAGGGGGGAGAGAGAAAAAAAGAGATTTCCTGAAATCGATGCATAATGACCCCGAGATTTATGGCTGACGGTGGGAATACACATGGTGCCGGCCGGCCCAGGATTGATCGTTTGGGAAAAGCGCAGGCACCATGGGGGCAAATCGATTACAAGCAGATTTCCAGGAGCGTGTGTGAGCGCTTGCTATTTAATTAAGATATCCACTGGCAACTTCAGAATTCCAGTTAGAGGAGAAATGTTGGCTTTCCGGCGTCAGATCCCTGCTGGCTTGGCCCTGACCCCTTCCGATGACGTTCCGCTGTCGTCATCAGCCAGTGGCTGCTCGTGCAAACACACGGCAATGATGGGGGGAGGCTGAAGGGATCTATCTGGAAAAATGGAGCCAGTGGGGGGTGATTTGATTTGATGAGAGGTACAGCAATGGCTGAGCAACACAAGCTGCGTTGACCGTCACCTTTCTCTCTAATTAGAGCGGGAAACTTATAAACAAGTTACACTTTTCGCTTACTGCCGAGACTAGGAATTAATTCTGCCTTCTTTCACACAGGGTCACTAGGCGTTGAATAAGACACAGCCTTTATCGTTGGGGCCTGTAGAGAATGAGCAATGAACTGCCACATCTCTGCAGGAAAACCCGGCTCTGAAAATGCACGACCTTTCAAAGTGACGATGCTGGAAGAGCTCTTTGCTCGGTTCGGCCTGATACAGCACCGACCCAGAGCGTGGCACCGCCTCTCATCTGCCCCCACATCATCGACTGCCTTCTGAATATATAACAATTAACCTCTTCGCTGTTCCTCTTTTTTCGGTCTGCCCACGGACTTCAAACTCTTTCCAAAACCTCTAGAGATCACCAATCAGAACCCCCCCCTTTCACCCCAGAGCTTGTATCCAATAGGCTCCGGTTATAAATTACACCAACACCCCAGAGGACCTTGGAAAATACAGCTGTGAGCAAGACTGAGTTAAAAAGAGGAAATATATGTTGTCAATACTGCCCTCCGTAGGGCGTGGGAGTGCCTGCAGCCAGCGTGTGTTAGCTATGCTGCACCCCAACCGGGCCCCACCAGAACTTGTGTTAAATGGACTGTGACTGAAACAAGCTTGGGTCACTGAACCGATATCAACAATGCCCATGTAAGAAGGGTGTTATTCCCAGTAGGTTATGGGGAGGGGGAGAGAGAGGTTGGGCGAGGGAGCGAGAGAGCAAGAGCGAGCTAGAGTGAGAGAGAGAGAGAGAGAGATCACACAGGAAGAAGTTGAACACACAGAATGGGAGACATGCTGCGTCTCACCAAGGCCGGCCTTTAAGGTCGTTATTTTGTCTTCCTGAATTTAGGTGTCTTGTTTTGTCAGGTAATTGAGCGGTACCCAGCAGGTGCCTCGGTTAAAAGGGCTGCCCTCCTTCCTGGGGGGTGGGAGGGTGGATGTGAGAGGAGAGGGAAGCATATTGTGAGGAGCCACAGTGAACGCAACCAAACAGGTTTTATCATCGGAGGGGGGTCCCTGTCAGTTCCTCGCTTTTTGTTTAACTGCCTTAGAAAGAGTAAAGCGGTCAAAATGAAAGGTTTCGCTTGACTTGGGTAACTGCTCCCAGCTTCTTCCTAAACTTAGCAGTGACTTCACCGTCTGCTTTTACCTGCCAGCCATTCTGCAATCCCCAACTGGGCACGTAACGACACCCCGAGAAATTAAATGTCACATTTTCAGAATATACTCACAAAGGA